TTGATCCCATACTTTTATATTTAGGTTGATAAGAGAAACAATTTTATAGATAAATAATTATTTAAATACGAATTAATTCTATTCTTTTGTATTTAAGATGAGCAAAAGGACAAATTTATGAGTAAGTTATTATTTTAATATACCTAGATTCTTTTATTTTATATTAAAGTTGATCCAAAGAATTATTTGATCAATAACAAAATCATTTTAATATAAATTAATTTCATCTTCTTCTATTTAGGTAGTCGCAACATTAGTTATGTCTTTGAGGATAATTTAAAAGATTTAAATTATGTTCTAGTATACAGAGAAAATAAAATAAACAGATGTCCTTTTTGTGTCGTACAAGAGGATCATGAAGCTATGATAATAAACGATATTATATCCATAAAGTAATAGTAATGGATTCATAAGAAGATTTTCTTAGATCCACAGAGCCTTTTTGAGGATTATATTACGAGGAACTGACTTTTCAATAAATTAATTCAGAATTAATTATTGGTTTGCTATTGAAAACTGTCTTTCGATTAGAAGACATTATTAAATAAAACTTTTCTAGCAACGAATGGCAGTATTGAAAAAAGCATTGATTAAGAAATCATTTATTTCGCTGTAAAACATAGATTTAGACGAAACTCCAAGTACGAAATCCTTTTTTTAGCTGCAAAAAATAGGTTTGTACAAAACGTCAGCTACGAAATCGTTTTTCTCAGGTTTACAAAAATAGTTTTGTACGAATCCTTATTCGTACGAAGCCAAAAAAAGATTTAGAATTCGTTTCAAACTTCGAAATTCTTTTTTAATTTCATATGGTATTTTCTTTTTCAGTGTAATGCATACTATTAATAGACATTAAATATATTGTTATAATCTTTATTATATTTTATTTGTCACTCGATGATAAAATTAAAAATTTGCTTCCACTGAGCCCTCTTAAGTACTCCACAAGCGTTTGCGATTGGGCTGTTGAAATATGTGACGGATCTGGTCGTTAGCTGCCTCTTCATAGGCTGTGAGCTTATAACTATTCTTTTGTTGTACCATAATGTCTCGTTCTTGCAATAGAAGACGCACAATATCAGCATGACCGAAGTAAGCAGCTGCATGAAGAGCAGTACTTCCATTGGGTTCCAAACGATTGATATTAGTACACTTTCTATCAGCTAGAACTCGTTTGACAGCATCGATATCACCGTGTCGACATGCCAAATAAAAATCACTCAATTTATTATTATCGTCCGAGAGAATCTTCTTTGCTGGTATTGTCGTATCTTCAATAAACTTGTTCATCTTCGAGGACAAATCGTTTCTTGATCGAACTGTCACACTTCAAGTAGAAAGCAATTTTGTTTGACGTTATTTTCTTTTCTCGGTATCTTTTTATTAGTAAGAGAGTGAGAGTCGGTCATGCTTGACTTGATTAATGCGAGCAAAATAAAATGAAGCAAAAAAAAATGTAATATTATTACTCTCCTCACGTTGTGATCGAATATAACGAAAGCAAGAAAACATAAGCAATGTAAATGACCATGTGCATTGCTTTTTTACCTTTTGCAAAAGAAAATCAAAACAAAATGATAAAATAGAGAATGAAGATGAAAAATATCATGATGTTTTATTGATTCGATTAGATACACAAGAAAAACTAGATGCAGTTAAAATATGAACAACACATGATCTTCATAATCATGAGTGACATTTCGATGCTTCTTTCGATATCGGCATCATCGTCAGACCCCTAATACTTGTTAGAAAGTTTTTAATTTGTTCAAAAAAAAAAGAAGTTGTCTAGAATAAGTAAGGATATAGGAATAATTGTAATTGTTTGTATATTTACTTTTGTTTTGCTGCGTGTGTGATATGATTGAAAAAAAGATTTTTTGGTTTCTAACATTTGAATATTCATGATCTGATGAACCTGGAGGATATTTGTCAATTGAATCTGTTTGAAAACATAAGATAGGTTTTGCTTTAGAGATTGATACAGATGGTAGTTATTTTAAGTGAAGAAATAAAATGGAATTGTTTTTTTTTCTATCCTGTAGTGATGCACTGATTATTTTATACAAGTTACACTCATTCATAGATTCACTAGGCCTTTTCTGAAAGTGCAGCGTTGTCGTCTATCATCAAGGTTGATCAAGATGATGGACTTGTTTTCTATAACTTTTGAAGCGTATATTAGAGAATATCTCATTAAATGTGCTATCTCCATTAAGACAGAAATATGCCATTCCAGATACAATAACTGGAAAAGATTTTCGAGATGAAATTTATCACTGGAGAATTTACTACACCTTTCGACTTCAAAAGAAATGAATATTCAGTCTTGTGCAATAATACATAGAGGAAAACATCTATCGCCTTAGTAAAGATAGAACTTCAGAAGCCAAACAATCGTACATAAAGTCCTGTTGAACAGGCAAAATTGTATACGAATTGTGAGAAAACCTGTTATATTCAGTGATCTTATGCAAATCGTACTACAAGATTCTTTGAAAACTTTCCTGTCCTATAAAATTTTATGTAGTCTTAGAATAAGATATGTATAAGATCATCAATGACGACGATTTTTCTCTGATCTTATAAAATCCCAAAAAATAAACGAAAGGTCTTGTAAGATCTTATTCTATGATTGTTTATTCTGTTTACAATGAAAACTTATTTTGCTTGATTTTCCAAACTATTTCTGTTTTTGGGACCCTATCATAAGTATATTTTATGATATAATCTTGATCATATAAAACAACGTGCGACTATATGTGTGTAAAAAATAATTCTGATAGGGTGTGGATGTGGAGATTGACGTGGATCTTGGTTTCAACCTCACGCCAACACCGATATGCACACGTAAACCATCCACACCCACACCCATATTAATAGTGCACACCGTTGTTCTTCAGTGTAGTATGAATTGAAACGAAAAAAATTTAATCATTATACTCAGAGAACGATCGAGAGAGATTGATAGAATCTGAGAATTTTATAGGTTGATGCACCAGGGTTAAATAAGCATGCTATTATAATCCGTTTCGATATTTTTCAAAAGTTTTATCTAATTGCATATTGATCTGCAAAGAAAACGACAAAAAAAAGTCGCATAGATAAAGAGCAATTTATTATTTCATCTAACTAACGTTGAATAATTGTTGTATAGTAATCAAATTAAGATAATGGTCTACATTTATACAAGAAATAAACATCTTCTTGATACAAAGTATGTTTGTCCTGTGTGTTCATTGATACTACAGAATCCGGTACAATTGGGCAAATGTGATCATCATCAATGTCAATCATATTTCGATGTTCAACATGAATAACTTTTATTGTGAATTTCTAGTATTATTCTTTGTTGTTGTTTTTAAAGAATCTCAATAAAATGTCGACAATGTTAATTGGAAACATCACGAATTGAAGTAAGATTTCTCTTTATAATTAAAAAGAAAATATATTTGGTTTATACAGGTTCTGCTTGATTGAGACTTCAAAAATGATATGAAATCAACACCAATTGATTGTTCGTTTTGCTAATGGACTGGTGTATTAAGTAGCTGCTATCAAGTAATTTATATTACATTAAATTTATTTATGAATATTCGATTCTTTTCTTTCAAACAAACATCTCGATAAATCTCATTCAAATCCAAAATGCGAATATTGTGGCGAAAAGTTCAACTCAATTAACAAATTCAATGAGCATCAAGTCTTCGCATGTCAAAAACTGATTGTTGATTGTATATTGAAAGACTTTGGCTGTAATGAAAAAGTATAGATATTTTGATAGGTGAAATTGAAACCTGACGATTGTTGTTCACTAGATTATTCGTGCCAAAGTGGAAGAACATTATTTAACTGAACAACATCAACATGCTATAATGAAAGGGAGGGTGTGGGTGTTACTATTCTCCCTAACTATACCCACACTCTAATTATATTTAACTACCATCAACCATATTTTTGATGAATTCATATAAAATTGCGAATTTTATTTGCAACAGTGTTTGTCTGTCTTCTTTGTCTCGTTTCATTGATGAATGTGTGACGAAAACGAATCACATAACACTTGAAAGAAAACAAATTTCCTATCAGCTGATAAGAAAATTTTCTTTTTAAAATATATTTATCGAAGAAATATAAGGATCAACATTTTGTATCGTTCTTTTATAGAAAAGTACGGAATTATTCTGAGGATATCTATCTTTTTCATTGCTTCATTCCTTTTATAAACATGTTATAAAAATAAATTGTATACGATTGGAAAGAGGAGAAAAAGTTCTATATTTTGGTTAAAAAGGTTTTCTTCCAGCATCTTTCTGTTGAAGAGAAATATTGATCAACATTTTGTGCCATTAGTTTTGCATCATACGTTAAGAGTTTTAGTAGTTTCGTTTGTTTAAAAGCTGATTGCTTCGATTGCCGTTGATTGTCACTGCTAATCAAGTGGCAATCACCGGCAATCAATATCAATTAACGACAATCAACGGCAATCAAGTGACAATATAGCGAGGTCTTATTGCTATTGATTGCCTTGAGCACAATAAACTTTCCCTTCTGGTGAAAATACATCTTTTTCTATAAAATAAATGTTTTTACAAAAGCTTTCAAACTTTTTGGGTATGACAAACAGTACGAAAACCAAAGGAAATTTAGATTCTATTTGTTCGTTAGTCTTTTCACATCATTCAATAATTCTATTTAACTAATTATTAGTTAATAAAATATGTTGTTAGTATAAATAGGATAGGACAGGATGAACATCCACATGTAAATACAGTGCAGAAAAAATTAATTTTATTGTAAAAATGTTAATGAGAGTCACAAAAAAATGAAAAATTTGAAAATAATGGAAACAAAAAGGGGTGTGCTTATGGGACATGAACTATGATATGGGTATTATTGGTGAAGTTTTAGTCTAATAGTAGGAAAAAATACTGCAATCTATGATTAATAAATGAGATTAACAATAAGAGAAAAGTGTCTGAATAATAAATGTGAACCAATTAAACTTTTTTGACTTCAATTTTGTTGCCTTTAGCACTTGTTCTTGTATCATTAATATATAACAAATTACCCTTATCATCTTCAATCCTTGCACGTAATGTAAAACCATAATCAGGCACTTTACTTGCAGCTTCTTCGTCGTATTCAACATTAAAACTAATCGGAAATTTTTCACCTTTTTTCAAAGTTATCTGTTGTTCACCAAGTGGAATAGCTGATGCATCCATACGAGCAGTATTTTGAACTGCTATTGCTAATATTTCATTGCCGTTAAATGTATCAGCTTCACAGCCGTCTTTTCCAATAACAATGCCTGTTGCGATTGCTGTCATTTTTGTCTATAAATGGTGTGAGTTTGTGTGAACAAAAACGTGAATATTTTCTTACAACGACATTGGTAACATGTGAGCATTTATATAACAGAGTTTCTTTTTTTTACTGTCTTTTTCTCTTTCCTTTTCTTTCTCTGCCCGGCGTTCGAGAGACATTTCACTCTTATTCATACATTTTTTTCTGCCACAAAAAGGATAAATAGAAATGATATGCAATTATTTTTGTTTTTTTTCTGTATTCAGGTGAGTGTCGTAGAAATCAATTTCGATATTCAAACCAATTTGTATTCATAGTTCCTTGCGGGTTTATTCAAAACGTACACTATTCTCTAGAACTTTTATATGCATAATACTTCGCATACATGTCATTCATAAAATGTCAAAGAGCCTATACTACGTTTCTCTCTAACCTGTAATAGAAGTAATATCTCACAAAATAATACATCTCTCTATCCTGTACGATGTTTCTAGGTTTTTCAATTGAAGTCAGACAGAACTAGTAGCCATTATCGTGATTTCACGCCCTACTACGAGCGATCATCAGGTGGCATTGTTCAAATTTATTATGACCCTAAAGGTTACGACAAAAACCATTATTCAACTTCTGTATAAGGTAGAAGAGAATCAATGTTAAGATGCGTGGCTGCTAGTTCTATTTGCAGTCATGCATCTTAACACCGATTCTCTTCTGTCTTATACAGAACTTAAATAATGGTTTTTGTCGTAGCCTTTAGGATTATGATGAATTTGGAACAATGCCACCTGATGATCGCTCGTGGCGGGGCGTGAAATCGCGATACTGGCTGCTAGTTCTAATCGCAACGAACTTCGAGTTTTCGATCAAAGTTTTACGGAGATATTCTCGCTTTTGAATAAAAAATTCTTCAAATCATAACGTTTTACACTTGTAAGATGAGCGATGAGTATTACTTCCTCAAAAAAAAAAATGAAAAATTTAAAGATTTTCATCCAAATTTGGTCAAGTTCATTCAGTAGGAAATGTGTTTTTCATGTAGAATCAGGATTTCCGAGCACCCTCATCAGAGAGATATGTACTGATCTATGTGTGATAAAGATTTCTGTGACACTTTCAATAAGACAGACGTGTGTGTACATATATAGTAATACGAAATCTCGAAAAATCTTCGAAAAATTTCTTTCCAAAGACTAAAATTGTTTCAATTAGAATGGTTTAATAGTATGAATCAATCAATAGCTAACAAGACACGTTTCGATAAGTGCTAAAGTTAAACTTATCAATTGCTTAATCCTTTCAGTCCTAAATTATTTCTGTTCGATTTAATTCAACGAGATTGCTAGATTAAATGATTTTTTGCCATAAAGATGCATGACACAAATAACTAACGTGTTCGTATGTGATTTACTCATTATAGGTTTTGTCGAATTTTGTCATATTTGAATGGAAATTTTAATTCCTAAAGTTAATTAATTGCAAAAATTATACAAATTTTCCATGAAATAACAAAAAACAATTTTTGTTTTGCTTTACACAAAAGAGAAATGCTACAGAAACTACATTTTATGTTACTAAACACAGGAGAAGCTCTCGTACTGCAATATCTGCATCTTCCTCTAGATTCAATAACAGGCATATGCGCTAATAAATGAGTTGATGGAGATCTGTTTCCCAACGTTTGTTGAATTTGTTTTTTGTTTTCTGACAGAAAAGTGAACAGGTCTGCCTCTTATTTTCCATGAACTTTGGTCGCCAATTAGTGACATTGAGATGGAAGAGAGAAATTCGACGTAAGTCATATTTTGTTGACCTAGATCATTGTAACAGACGAACGCGTTCGAAAGACTTGGCTTGAAGAAAGTAAATGAATATTCGAATCCAATTTCTATTAGATTTTCTGTCAATAGAATAACAGAAGACTCGTTGATCAAACAAATCTATTCCATGAATGAACTTGTTGTATTTAGATACTACTTGCGGGCAAATAACAAATTGTTTTGAATCATCTTTTTCTTTTCTAGCCATCGTTTCCGTTTTTCTTTGATCAAAGAAATTACTTGCAACAAATACAGGTTTCTTGTCTTGCCATTTGACCACTGATATTTAGTCAGAAGAGTAATATTTATATTCACTTGTTTTTAATTTATCTTTTTACAAAAGTTCTTTAGGAAATTCCTTTTTGTTTGTTCTTATTGTTCCAGTTGCTCCTATTTTTTTCTTTTCTAGTTGTAATAATAGGGGAATAGACGTAAAAAATTTGTCAAAACATAACTAATGTTCTACTAAATTGATTCCGCTAATAAGCTGTAAAACAACATCGTCACCCAATGTTCCTTGTCTGTACTCTTGTTTATTAGTATAGATATCGAAATTATAAAGATAACTGGTCAAAGAATTTGCTAAACACCATACTTTATATGCTTTTTTGATCGGCTTCAAAGGCACATATTGCTTCAAAGAACTTCTTCCTTTAAATTTAATCATACTTTCATCAATGTAGATGTTCGTTCTCAAAATATAGTTCTCTTGAAAGTTCCTTTTTAGTAAACAAATGAAGTCAAAAACTTTGAATAATTTGAATTGCTTTGAACCTTTGCTAAATTGGTTTTGTTTTGCATTATCTGATAAATGTAATGCATTAAATATTCGACAGAATTCGTCCCTCGACATAGTATTAGCAATAACTTTCGTGTAGAATATTTTATTTCTACTCCAATAATCTCTTATTCGAGGTACTTTATGCAAGCCCATAACAATTAGTAAACCAAGTAAAGACTGAATAATACTTCTACTAACTGGTTGTCAAACTCTTGCACACTGTTGTGCTGAAAATTTCTGTTCTCCGTAAGTATTTGTTTGATGTACTATCAAATCATAAATATCTTTTGTGAAAAACTTATTGAAGATATCGATTGGCTGAATGTTTTTGTTAAAATTTATAGTTGTGTGTCCTTTGACTTCTGTTGGAGAAAAATTTGCGCTTTGAATAAAGTCTTGGTTCTAATCCAACTCCAACTCTTCATTTTCGCTTTTAATATCTTCTTCTTCTGTTTCACTCTCAATATCATCATCTTCTTTTTCACTTTCAATATCATCTTCTTCTTTATCTATTTCAAGATCACTTTCATTTTCGTCATAAGAATCTGTTTCTTCATCAAAAGATGAACTGCTTGTATTACTCTCTTGATCAAAATTCATTTATGCTTCTTTCAATAAATGCGCAGGTAGAATGAGCACATGACCAATATTATATATACAGGGTGATCGAAACGTAACTCCCTGATTTAAATTCTTTATTATTCTCAAACAACAAAAGATATCGTCCTGATTTTTTCACCATTTTGAAGCATGGACTATGACATGTTGTTCTAGATGAAACAAATCAATTGATCATTTGACTGTCTAAGATCAAATCCGAATTTTGTCTTGACAACATTTAGAAAAAACTTATTATTTTTAGTAGTTTATTATTCTTGTACTATAACCAGGATGTGGTTGTGAGCGTGCGTATAGGTGTGGAGTGTACATGCGGGTGCGTATGTGAAGTTGTGATGTGTGTTTAGACAATGCAAAAATGTTCACTCAAACCCACACACCCACATTCTGGTTCCTGTTCAAGAATAATAAACTACTAAAAATAATAAGTTTTTTCTTAATGTTGTCAAGACAAAATTCGAGTATGATCTTAGACAGCCAAATGATCAATTGATTTGTTTCATCTAGAACAACATGTCATAGTCCATGCTTCAAAATGGTGAAAAAATCAGGACGATATCTTTTGTTGTTTGAGAATAATAAAGAATTTAAATTAGATAGTTACTTTTCAATCACCCTGTAAATATATATATATATAAAGACAGAACAGAAAAAAAAATTTATTAGATAAGAAACAAACTAGTATTGAACGAATATGTTCGTTCGATATTGGTTTGCTTCTTATGCAAGAAATATTTTTTTCTATTCGGTCTCTATATATAATATTAATGATGTACTCATTTTCCACATGTACCATTTTATTTTGGTAGACGTAGATTGATCAGAAACACCGCCTTATATGCCTTTTTAAGGAACGTTCTAGAATGTTCTCGATGAACGACTATATGTTTCCTTTACATGTTGTCTGGGGATTTCAGAGCATTCTTTATTGCTTTATGTCAATAAATTACGTACTAATTACTATAAATAACGTTGTGAAAAATAATTATAAAACATGTGCAGCATTTTTGCTACTATAGGACTGAAAGGGTTGATAGAAAATAAGATGAAACGATTACTAATTACTGATTAATACTTTTTGATTCGTAGGATAAAAATAAATCACGCTTTAAAAAATTAGAACAGAAAAAACGAATAGTTTTAGCGGAAATACAGCGATAAACGATAATTTTAAAAGGGTGGTTCTTTTGAATTATCTTTAATGAAGAGATCCATGATCGATCTGTTTCAACTGTTAAACATTACTATCTTCAAAACTGAATACTTATGATGGATCGTCATTGATCGATCTATAAGATATTTTTTAATTGTCTTCGTCTCACAATGCCAATAGAAAAATGAATAGGCTTTAATGTCACATAATATTCTCAATAAATTTATACGTCATACCATAAACAGTGGCCCATATGCTTTATTTTCATGTAGAAGATTTGAAGAAATTTTCTTTTTCTTTGAGCTGATAGAGACTTTTTCCCTCTATTTTTCTATGTAATCCGATCACTATTCAACTCATATCATCATAAGAGAATTTTAATTAAAACATTTTTTGTGTAATATCAGCTAGCAGTAATAGTGCATATTATTATCCATGTGTTTTCTTTTCGTTTTCCTTTATTTTTCGCTTCTTCTTCCTTTCATCTTCTTTTCCTTATCTCTTCTAATAACTAGCCGTCCTTAAATTTTACAGTTTACAAAAAATAATGGTAGTGGAACAGAAAAGAAATATAGAAACAAGTTCAACGATTCCCATGCAATCACGAAAGGCATACCAGACATGACTAGATTTGTTCTCGTTGTATATATTGGC